GCTGGGAATTTCAAGGGAACACAAGGGAGGTAGGCACCCTTTGAGTCTGGAGCAGCTAACTGCCTTAGGTTGTTTTGAAATTCCTCACCTGCCATTATTAACCTGAATTTAAAAAATCTAATTTAGTTTTCACCTTTTGGGCTGTTCTTTGGGACAGTGGAATTCGACCGATCAGTGTCTCCTTTGCTTCAGCTTCCCCGATCTGGTGCAGAAAAGTTTCATGACTTAGATCAGTGGTTCTCACACAGGGTACGCATACCCCTGAGGGTGCGCAGAGGTTTTCCAGGAGGTATATCAACTCATCTAGATATTTGCCTAGTTTTACAGCAGACTACAAGTGCTAGTGAAGTCAGTACAAACTAAGATTTCATACAATGACTTGTTTAAATTGCTCAATATACTATCTGCTGAAATGTAAGTACAATATTTATATTCCAGTTGGTTTATTTTATAATTATATGGTAAAAATGAGAAAGTCAGCAATTTTTCAGTACTAGTAGCTGTGACACTTTTGTATTTTTATGTCTGATTTTATAAGCAAGTTGTTAAATGAGGTGAAACTTGGGGTATGCAAGACAAATTAGCCTCCTGAAAGGGGTACAGTAGTCTGGAAAGGCTGAGAGCCACTGACTTAGATGATGTGTATAAAGTACGTTGGAGATGAAAAGATAAGTGCTAAATATTATTTTATTCAGGGACCAGAACTGAAGTGAAATGTCCAGTGCATGTTATGACTCTTAGATCAGAGATATTCATACTGAGCTCTCCAAAGCTGAGCTAACTGGAACATGAGCTTTGTACTGTCCTGCCTATGGGTGCTTTATGGGGGGGCTGAGCGTAAATGTTCCTAGGACCTTTGCACATAACTGGAAACATCCAACAGATCCTATCTTCCTCGCCACTTAGGAGATCAAAGCCAAGCTCATGCACTTACCCGTGAAGTGGTTTAATGTTAGAGATAGGGCAGGTACTGTGTTCTCCACCTCCCAGGGCCTACCTCCAGCTGTAGAACCTACTTGGCAAGCAGCTTTGTTTGCTTGTGCATTGTTCTTAATGATAAGTTGCAGGTAGTTCAAAATCTGGACAGCTGTTGCAGCTATGGGGCGCTTTGGGCCATTTGGGGAGAGGTCACGGGGGTGTGGGGGGTGCAGGACCAGTGCAAGGAAGTTTCGCGCCCTAGGCGAAACTTCCACCTTGCGCCCCCCCCCAGCCCTGCGGCAGCTCGCCGCCACCCCCTCTGCCCTGAGCCCTCCCCCCACGGCAGCTCCCCCCCTCTGCCCTGAGGCACCCCCCCGCGGCACCTCCCCCCCGGGGAGCCGTGCGGCAGCTCACCACCCCAGCTCACCTCTGCTCCGCCTCCTCCCCAAGCACGCCGCCCCCGTTCTAATTCTCCTCCCCTCCCAGGCTTGCGGCGCCAAACAGCTGATTGGCGCTGCAAGCCTGGGAGGCGGGAGAAGTGGAGTGGCGACCGTGCGCTCAGGGAGGGGGTGTAGGAACGCTGTAAAAAAAAATTGGGGGCACCGCTTTTTGGCACCCCCAAATCTTGGTGCCCTAGGCAAACGCCTAGTTTGCCTAAATGGTAGCACTGGCCCTGGGGGGGTGGAATGTTAGTGTGATGTGATGGCAGCACACAATGGGAGGATTGTGACATGTAGTCTTGTTCCTTGCTGTCTGATTTGCAGTGTTGTAAGTGCTAGAGAGTGCAGCTGCTTCCTTCAGCAGGATTTACAGAAGGCTGCAGGATTTGTGAGAGAATCCTATCGATTAAGTTGGGTAGGCAGTGTAGCACTTGTGGTTATCAGGAAATGGGACACCTGTATGAGAGGAGGTGAATTGTGACAACAGTCACATAATGCTTGCTGTGGCCCTTCTGCAACAGATGAGTGGTTGCCAAGCATAATAGTGCCTCAAGAGCATGACGAAGATCCTGCTTAAATCTGTCTCCTGCTCCACCTCGCTGAAAGCGGTCTAACCTCCTGTGTGGTTGGGGAAGAGCAGCTGAGGAAATGGGTCTGGCTCATTTTGAGAGGGGTTCAGATCTCAGGGGATATTTATCTACTGATCTGTTTATGTGCTCAGTATCTTTTCCTGCTGACAACCTGCAGGGAAGCAGTGACAGTCACTGGAAGGGTTGGATAGATTGACGTAGGAGGAAAGATTAAAAAGGCTAAATCTGTAGAGCTTGGCTGAGGAACAGCTAAGGGATAGTATGACAATGCTCTGCAAATATTTGAAGGGTGTTAACACATTAGGAAAGGGAAGAATGATTTAGCCTGGCGTACAGGGGTGTGAATTAAGAAAGGCAAAGCTCCTGGCTAATAAAGTGCCTTAAGGGGTAGAATTCATTCCCCCAAGGAAGTGGTAAAGCCCCATTGTTCTGTAGCAGCAGGGACCGGAGCTGAGTGGGTGACAGAAATGATCTATGGGCCCAGATCCTCTGCTGGTGTAAGTCCACACAGCTCCAGTGCCGTGAATGAGTCAGGCTGATTTATAGCAACCAAGTTCGTGGCCCATGCTCTTCATTGGCGCTCTGATGGAAAGAAGTGGCGTTGTAGAGTAGGATATCAGGGCTTGGTAGATTAGTTCTAAAGGAAGGGGAAGTGTTTTTTTCAGACTCAGTCATGCTAAGGAACACTGAATAAGGTCTGTAAATTGTTTGTGATTGAAGGAGTCCAGTCTCAGAGCCTTCAGTGACCTCAGCCTGACTGGTTTCAGAGTAACAGCCGTGTTAGTCTGTATCCGCAAAAAATTTGTTAGTCTCTAAGGTGCCACAAGTACTCCTGTTCTTCTCTCAGCCTGACTGCAGCACATGGATTTGCTCGGCAGCTAAGACCATGCTGCAAAGTATATCTCATACTTATGTGGCCCCACACTACCTCAGCCCATGTCTACACCACAAAATTAAGTTGACCCAACTTACGTTGGTAAACAGCCACCATAGTAATGACATCATTTGTATGTGTCTTCACATTGCTATGTGTGTTGGCAGTGCACATCCTCCCCTGGAGCACTTGTATTTATTGTACTGTCTTGTGTGGGGGATTGTGGGATGGCTCCTGAAATCCAGTAACAGTCAACATAGGCAACGCAGTAACATTACATCAACATAACTGCACTGTCCTTGACCTCTCATGGAGCTGGAGTTATCAGTGTAGGGGAGCAGTTACATCAGCAGGAGTGACATTTAAGTGTAGACACTGTGACATTCTGTACCTTGGGGGAGCACCCTGTAACCCCCATATTCCAAATTTATATAGGATTGTGATCTTGCATATAAAGCATGCCTTGTAAGGTATCAGGGGAAAGGTTATAATCTGCTGAAAGTCATTTCTCTATCCATATATGTATATCATTAATGCATATGAAGTTATGAGAATAGTGTATGGTTGTCACTAAAACATACTGCAAGTTGGGGATTCAGGCAGATATTAGCTCCCCAGAGGCAACAGCAAGGAAAGTAACCAACCCCTGGGCAGACTGTCAAACAACCCATCAACAGCCGTTGTCCAGCGAGGGAGCTACAATTCAGTGACTCACCTGCATGAGGCTACACCAGAGGAATTGCTCAATCTTGCCTGGAGACTCAGCAATGCCCATCAGACATACCTGGACTTGTGTTCTACAAGAACATGGACTGAGGAGATAAAACTGAACACAGGGGGCCCAGGCTTGGCCTTTCTCCTTCACCCATCTACGCTGCAAGCAGGGCTGGCTTTAGGCCAATTCGCCCGATTCCCCCAAATCAGGCTCCATGCCTAAGAGGGCCCCATGCTGGCGCCTTTTTAAGTTTTACTCACATGGCGGTGGTCCGGGTCTTCGGCAGCGGGTCCTTCACTCGCTCTGGGTCTTCGGTGGCGGGTCCTTGAGTGCCACCAAAGACCCAGAGCGAGTGAAGGACCCGCTGCTGAAATGCCGCTGAAGACCCAGACCGCCACCAGGTGAGTATGAATCGGGCCCCACCCTTGCTAAAGCCGGCTCTGGCTGCAAGCAACAAGATGAAAAGATAAGTGCTAAGGACTCTGAGGACTCCAACTGAGGGGACTGGTCCAGATTTCAAGGGTGAAATCTGTGTATTATGAACTGCAATATCCAGTGGGGTGAGAAAAACTGCTTAATCTAGATGTTGCCCAGTCTAATAGGGTTGGGCGTTTAGACGGCGTGCTTACATTTTATTTTATTTTGGTAACTAACTCTGACTTTTTGCCTATCACTTAAAATCAATCTTTTGTAGTCAATAAATTTGTTTTACTGGTTATCTTTGAGTTTGCCTGAAGTGAATGGTAAGTATGCTCAAGTTTTACAAAGGCTGGTGTATGTCCGCTTTCCACTGATGAAGTGGTGAACTAATTAATAAATTTGCACTGCTCATCTTGAAGTACAAGATGGTATATTCCTGAGATACCATGCAGGGGGGATTTGGCTGGTGCCTTTCCCTGTGTGATTCATGAGCGACTCTGGGAGCATTCATGCAATCTAGCTGGGTGTTGGGTCTCCACACGTAGTTGTGCTGAGTGATCACAGTGCCTGGAGGGGTTTGTTGCTTGTCACTAGCAAGGCATTGAGAGAGACAGCCCAGGGTGGAGAGAGTTCAGGGGGCACAGTGGTCCCACAGTCCCAGGCTGCATCCCAGGGATCCCATCACAGATGCTTCCATAGTTAGGTCGACGTAAGCTGCCTTGCATTGACCTAACCCTGTAGTGCAGACCAGGCCTTAGTATCTGAGTGGCTTAATGTGTTTATCCTCAATGCCCGTCAGGCAAAGCAGTGCTATTATCCCCATTGTTCAGATGGGGACCTGGGGCCCACAGAGACCAAGTGACCTGCCCAAGTCACACCTACATAGCAAAGCCAGGAACTGAACCCAGATCTCCTGAGTCCAGGCTCGCACCTGAACCATCCTTCATGCAGATAGTGACACGGGGTGCATTAATAGCATATTTGGTTCTGAAGTTACTCTCGCTCTTCAGAGTGGGCAAAGAGAAGACAGGTGACAAGCCAGCCTCATTTATACACAAAGTGTTTATTCATAATAAAGTTACATTTTTAAACTAGATTTTTTTCCAATAAATGCAGCAGCATCTTCTTTACAGATACAAGTATTAGTGCTGAAAGTTTGCCGGCGTTACCCTGAACGCAAAGTGCAGCAAGGAATGGGGGTGTGAAGAGATCTGTTTTGTCCCGGTTTAGAAGTCCAACTCCATGAGCAGAGGGGATGAACCCATCACAGAGAAAAGTGCCTGAGAATTTCTGATGTTTCTTGAGACCATCTCGACCCGTGAGACTGCAGCCTTTGTGGACAGACAATGCGGCCATGAAAACTAGCAGCAGGGGCTATGAGGACTTGGCCTCTAACACAAGAGGACCACACGCAGCGAGTCTAACTGCAGAGCTAGAACTGCTGAAGCCGAACGAACCACCACATAACGAGGGAGAGCAGCAGCTAACCCTCCTGCAGGAGGGGGAAGTGGGAAGGGAATTAGCCCTGCTGCACAGAGTGGTGCCACAACTCTGCTGTAGAAATCACAAAGTCTACCAATTGCTGTGTAGATGGATCCCCCGCAAAGCATGCCCTGGAATAGCCTAGTGGCAGGAGCTAGTGGTGTATTATGACAAGAGCAGAGGGAACTAAAGGTGAGTCTTATAAGACAAATTCTGCCTTTAGGCTAGTGCTGAAATCAGCCAATGCAGCATTTGGGCCTGGGCACAACCAGTAGTCTGTTGCCACTCAAGGGTGCATCAAGCAGCTTTACAAGTAGTGAATTGGACTGGCTGGTATTAGCAGAGGAGATGTCTAACCCTGTCAGAATTCCGCATCCCCAACTCCTACTACCAGCCTCCCTATAATGCAGAAGAACCATCCAAGAGATGGAGCTACAAATTATTCCTTTCCTCAAGTCAGCAAGCAGAGGGCAAAGTTTAAACACCGAGCAGAACTTGATCTGAGCTAGCCAGGGAGAAAGCTGGCTGTGTCTTCTGGTTACCCAGCTAAGCATCCACTCCTTGCTCATTCAGGTAGGCCCTGCAGTCAGGGATGCTTGTTTTATGGGCAATACACATCTCCTTTCCCACCTCCACCCTAAGCATTCCTTTTCAGGAAGCAGAGCCCCAGCTGGAGACAGATACCCTTCTATCAATGCAGGCCCACTGCACTCACAGCTTACTCCTGCCCAGGCAGACGGAGAGTATTGATGCTGCCCAGGAGCAGAGTGAGGCTTTAGAAGACCATGTACATAAGAATCCCATGGCCATGAGGATCAGTTGCCATGGGACGGAGCCTCAGCTGGGGAGGCTATGCTCTTTTACGCTTGACTTCAGTGGAAGTACAACACTCTTTACAGCAGCTTAGGGTCTAGGCCCATCTCTCCTCCACCCATCCCTTCTACTCTGTGGTCCTGAGGGCAAAGGTGTAGCTGGTCAGGGGGGCTGAGACCTAGCACTCTCATTCCTACCCCTCCTTGTTGAGTGTCACACTGGCCTACGCTGAAGGCTCAATTTTCAGCATTTATCATTCCCTCTTCTCCAAGGCCTACGAAAGGAGGTAATCAAATATTCCACATCTATTTTAAATAAAGCCTTTACAATACACATTGCACACAAGCGGGTCCTTAGACACCTAGCCCTATTCATAAATACGACACTAAACTCTACATCACTTCATAATAGACAGATCCAGTAGGTAGCTTATACAGTACAATGCAGAGGGAGGCTTGTAACTAAGTCTTCCTGCTGCTAAGTCCCGACAGACTTTATTCAGCCCCTATGGCAACCCTTCCACAGACTTCAATAGAAACGGTCTTCCTAGAGGGCTGCAGAGGGCCAGTAGGGTTAGTAGTTGAAGACACATCCTGATGACCGTGCCCCAGCCAAGAGGCACATAGAAGCAGAACAACTTGTGCTGTAGCATCACGGATTTGGTTTGCAAGGGACAATCCTCCGCTTTGAACTGTAGAAATCTGGAGGGAGAAAGAAAAGGAGACTACTGAGCTTGCTCTCAAGTGAGAGCGTGAATGAGCCCTTCCAATAAACTGGCTGGAGGAGCTTTATGAGCAATAAGCATCTGTTTTGGCAAGAGCAATCCAGAGTCATGCTTCAGATTGCCTGTCTGACAGTGAGAAAAGACCCATCTGTGGAGGGTTTTATCAAGTTCCCTTTGACTATCTGGTTGAATGGCAGTGGGACGCTGGTTTCACTTTTATTATCTGCTCCAGTCTTGTGATTTATTGACCTGAAATCTGGGAAATCTGATTTGGATTCCTACCTCTGCCAGCCACCCTGTGTGATGTCATTTGAGATTCCTTTCCCCAGCTGTAGCAAGCAGAGAATCTTGGCCTTCCCTCCACTGTAAGCTCTCCAGGGTAGAGACTGCCTCTTACCACACTAACTGCTTTCTTTACACCTACTGCGGTGAGATCCTGAACTCAGCTGGAGCCTCCAGGCAATGCTGCAGTGTGAACAGGTGAACTGACAGTAAGCGCCAACGCCTGCAGTGACAGGTGCCCTGTGCCACCCCAGAGATAGGACTGGACTGGTCAAGCTGCCTCTGACATTCTGTCTCTTGCTCTGGTAGCCATTAGGGGTACTAGTGAACTAGGGGCAGGACAAGCATTCGTACTTACCTTTTATGCTGGTCTGCTTTCGTTTCAGGTGCCTTGGGGAGCTGGCCTTGCAGGACTCAGAGTCCATCTGTACTGTTTCACTTGAGAGGGCCATGTTAAGATCCTTTGTAGAAATCTTAAGTGCTGGAGAGCTCTGGTTCTTCTCCCCACCATTACCTTTGGAGTGGCTCGGGTCCTGAGAAGGCAGGCAAGCAGGAGACACGTCAGGATAGAGGACTCTCTCCCACTTGAACTTGCCCTCCAGCGGTGTTTCCGTCTCAAAGTCAAAATTCCACCTGCACTGAGCTTCTTCCAGATGTCTCCTCATCAAATCCTGCAAGTCATTCTGGAGCTGCTCATGATCCACCGGGCCAAAGAGGTTTCGGCAGAGCTTCCTGTTGCAGGGGGCCTGCCGCATGTTACTCTGTGACAGAGGCATGTTTCCAGCTGGAAGGAAAATGAGCAACATATGGTTACTGAGCTGCAGTGCAAGTGATCAATAGTTAGGCTACTAAGTGAATTAGTAAATGATCACAGAAGTCCATGGGGTTCAGGCATCTCCTGGGACCACCCCTGGCATGCAGTACTGAGCAATCATTGGCTACATGCATGCCAATGTAATCCATGCAAGGAGCATGCACTTGTCTCCCTCTTGTGGCTGGTTTACATGAGGGTTGAATCTGCTACGGCTTCCCAGCTATAGAACTTAATCCTTGAGCTCAAGTGGTAAGAGCTGATCCATCTAGTGCTCAAAGTCCTAGGTTCAAACCCTGCAGTCAGCCCCGTGGTCCAATAAGAGATATTACCTCACTGTCCTTCTATCTCTAATACCCTGGTACTGACACTGCTACAACAATACTGGATCTCAACTTGGAGGATATTTAAAATCAGAATTGGATCTGAATTCAAGTTTGCATGCGACAGATTCACGTGAGAGCAGCTGGCAAAGCCAACAGGAAATATTAGGTGAATTTCTTAAATCCAAGTACCAGAACATAGCGGCAAGGAACTATGCTTTGAACAAGCTGCATAGAACAAATGCCAAGCGTGTCCATTTTGGTAATACCTTATTGGTAAAACTGTTGGGTAGCCACTGATAAAGACCCTGCTTTGTAGAGGCAAAGAGGAGCCACACTTGGTCTGTAAACAGGAGATGCACCTAAGTGGTAAAGAAAGTTGCCAATTGCCAACAAAAACCCCAGAAGGGTTCTAACCTTCTGCTCTCCCCCTGATGTGGGTATGCAAGGTTATAAAGGAATCCCTTTGCAGCTTGTAATTATGTAAGGAGGCTTGTTTAAAAGGGCAGGATGATATTTTAAAATCATTCATCTAAGTTTGAGATCATGAATTGATTCCCATAGAGCCTGATGGTCAGATATGCAGAGCACCTGCAGCTTCTACTGACTGCAGTGGTAACAGAGGGTGCTCAGCACAAAATATCCACCCCACAACGGACAGAGGGCAGTCACAATAGGCCCACGAGCAGAAAGCTAGAGCCAAATAAGTTATTAGCAGTCGAACTGGGCAAAATTTTAGCCAAAGCTTTGTGCCAGGAAAAAAAAAAATAATAATGCCGATTTGCATCAACCAAAACAATTCAGGAATTTGACAATTTTGCTAAATAGTTTGAAAAAAGGATTATGAAAATCTAAACATTGAGTTTGAGGTTTACTTTACTGTTATAAACCAACAAAAACGCAACAATGTTGTGGGTTGAACAAAGTGTTTCATTCAACCCAAAATGAATTTGATTCCAGTAATGCAAAAAAGGTTATTTTCACCACTTTAATTAGCAGTGAACGGTTTGCTCAATTCTGCCCGCATACAATCCTTTGGCAGCAACGATTTAGCCTTTATGCTATTAGTCTGGGAGACATTTAGGCACCACGGCAGCTAAAGGCCACATTTGGCTTGTATATCTTGAACCTTAACCTTTAATGGCCTCAGTGCCTATAATATTCTATTGATCCAGCTTGTCCTGTTCTTGCCTTTTCACCCAGAGAGGAAGAGGCTGAGAGATTAAAATAGAACTCAACCTTCATATCGCCTGACAGTTCACACCCTTGTAAACAGTTCAATGGAATGACATCATCGTGAGTCAGTCAAGTTCCAGCATGTCCAAACAAGCCCTGGCAGGTAACAAGTTTCAACTTGCTGCTGCATATGAAAGCAAACACCCACACCCATTAGAATGCCCACTCCTGAGAGATCCGGAGCATTCTCAACACCTACCACTGACTTAAACCGGAGTTGAAGGCCTGGTCTACAGTAGAAAGTGAGGTCGGTTTAACTGCATCAGTCAGGGATGTGAAAAATCCACACCCCTGAGCAGCATAGTTAAACAGACCTAAGTCCCCATATAGACAGTGTTAGGTCGACAGGAGAATTCTTTTGTCAACCTAGCTACGGCCTCTCAGGAAGAGCCTCTCCCATCAGCATAGGTAGTGTCTACACTGAAGTGCTACAGCAGACAAACCTGCAACTACTCAGCACCTCACAGGATCCGTGTGCCACAAAACTGCACAATCTCGCATTAAGACCAATGCTTCATCCTCCGCTCCTGATTGTGTGTGTTGGAAGCCGCTGAGTGTGGATGACACATGGCTGGTCTTTACTTTCAATTTCCTGAATAGTCAGTTTGATGACCTGAAGAACCATTGAAGTCATTTTCATTTCCTTTCATACAATGAAGCTTTCTTGTAAGTCACATTAAATTCTGCTACAGAACCCTGCAGACTTGAACAAGCAGCTGATACAGAGCAATGTTTGTGGTCACCAATGGGTGCCAGGGCAGTGCTGATCCAAGAGTGCAGCTCTTGGCAAGAGCTTCAGGTAAGCAAAAGGCAACTTGTCACTGGCTCTGCTCATCCTGAACCCTCTAAGAAACAGGGATCATTGCTTCCCTAAGCCAGTTTCTTACAGGTGGCAGGATCTCAATAGGAAATTAAGTTGGGTGCAGTGATCAAGTCAATTGCACTCAGAGTGCAGGGAGCCTGCTGCGTGACCTGGGCAAGTCACCTGCTCTGCCTTACAAGTCCCAAAGTGACTTGAGAGACTGGCCTAGCACAAGGAATATAGGGGGAGGTTTAATTACAGTAAGATTTTGGGGATCCTTTGAAGAGCACATTATGTTCAAGCTAAACATCCAGGTCTTCAGCCACATCAGGATTTTTGTTTCAAGAGAGACAGCAGAGAGGAGATCCTGGAAGCAAGTGAACTTGACAGCAGGATTTTTGGGCTCAATGCAGCCCCTTCCTTCCCATACACCCAAGTTGGGGGAAAGAAATTCTAGGGGCAAAAAGAGCAGCAGCAAGGGGACAAGTTTTAAAGTCCATCTGTCTGCAGCCCATTTATTGCCAATCTCTGGAACAATCTGGGGCTTGGTCTCATTAATATTGCAGTTTCTAGGCAAAGCATGTCTGGAGAGGGAGGAAGTGGAACTATTTTGGGTCATTTGCAGGCTTCACTTTCCTTACTTGTGAGCTCCATGGCTCTATTGCTCCTGTCAACCATCTTAACCTAGATTACAATAAATTAAAGTAGCTTTACCTGAATAGCCACGTTAAGCAATAACTGGGATGCCAGAGACAGATTTTTACACCAGACATGCAAGTGTTCAGTGTATTAACAGTGTACCACTTTGCCCACCAGGGGGTGTTTGTCACCCAGGAATAAACATCTTCCCACCTTTCACTACAGTAGCCTCCTGGGGTTTCCATTTCTTGTAGAGTGCGGGATTATTTGCAATCAGAGTGAAACCTAGCGAGCAGGCCCAGTCAGACTGCCAGAATGACACATCCTGGGACAGGCAGAGTGACATGTCTAGGGAAGGCTGGGATTACATCATCTTGGACCAGCCAAGCAGCCGATGAGTACCAGCAGGTGATGAATAATATTGTGAAATATCCCTTTAGACACAGACACTCAATCCACAAACAGTATTTACACCTATTACAACTATTCAAAACGAACTCAAGCAGTTGCAAACTGGATGGCAGATCAGCGATAGGACTGAGCAGAGGAGAACTTGGCCATCCCTACAGCTATGTGGGCCGCTTCCGCTGCTGTCCCGTCGGGCTCTGCAGTTTGCAGCAGCCAGTGGCCAGCAGAGACTCTCGCAGCTCTTATCAGCCTGATCCTTCTGTTCCTAGGAAGTGCCCGGGGACACGGAGTTCCAGCGGAGCGCGACAGTCCCCGATCAGGGCGGTGCTGACGCAGCCACCCAGCCGGGCTGGGAACGGCTTTGCCCAGTGCGCTCCCTGCCCGGTGCGTTGTTACATGGCTCTTCCTGGACGTGTTTAGACCAAAGTTTCAGGGAAGTCCCAGCCCGACGTGCGCTTGGAAGTGACTCGCGAGCCCGCGCAATAGGGCAGGTCTCTTACATCACAGCGAGCGTGTGACTATTACTAACCGCTGGCCGCCCAGACATGCCCAGGCAGCGCCCCGCTCCATTGGCCAGCCCGGGCTGCCGACTCCGCAGCGCCCCCCGCTGTCGGGCCTGGCGAACGCTCAGTCCCCGGGCCGGGCCGGGCGTTCCTACCAGCTGGCGTCATGTATATGAGTGTCACACGCCATGGCACCGCGTCCAATCGCCCGCCCGCTCCTGACACCCCCGGCAGCCAGCCCTGCCTCCGGGCCCGCGGCTTCCACAGCCCCCTCTGGCCGCGATGCGCCCCGCGCCCCGAAAGCGAAACGGCTCCCCATCGGGCCCCCCCGGCGGGCTCGGGGGCCGTTCTGGGGGCTGGGGAGATCGGTTGTCTCTGCCGCCGTCATCAGTGGCCGAGGGTCTAATCCAACATGCGCCACACTCGCCCCTTCCCCGAGGCTTCGCCTCGCTGCGCTTCGGAAGGAGACGTGTAAACCCAAATGACAGCTCGCGTGTGTGCGCTCTCAGATCGGCCTGGCCGGGCTAGTGGCCGGGGGTCCGCAGCAAGGGGCGCCCCCAGTTCTAGCCCTATAGGGTCATTGGGAATCCCAGCCCTTCCAGTACAGAGACTATCTCGGTTCCCAGCCCAGCGGCGCGTTAAGGGCATTGCTCCGGGGATCTTCGCATCCTCCGTGAGCGACTAGCGGAGAGACCAGCCCACCGATCAGTGCGGGCTCGGGAGGGGGGCCCGTGAAGGGAGTGGGAGACTCCCCAGCAAGCGAAACCGATAGAGGCAGAGCAGCTTGGGATGGAGGAGGAAGAAAACCCCACCAGCAGCCGGGAGGGAGAGACTAGTAGCCCGGGAGCCTCTGCCCACTAGGGAAGCGGGGTCTCTGCTCAGCCTCGCTTCCCGGGAAGCCCCCCGTGACCCCGGTCGGTGCGGGGCAGCAGCAGGCGGCTCCCGGTCGGTATCTCTCTGGATGGCTGGGCTTAGCCTAGGGCACTCCAGAGTGGGGCCCCTCCGACTCCCCTTTAGCTAAGGTCAGAGCCCGCGCAGGTGTCGAGAAGCGGGGCGGGATCCCCGGTACCTGGGGGCCACGGAGCAGTGAAGTCGCATCCTCTCTCATCGGTCCAGAATTGGGCTCCCCATCGAAGGGGGGCGGCACTGATCGTGCGCGAATCCACCCTCCAGAGGGGGGCGAGGAGACTCGGGGACAGATACCCGGCGGGGGAGGTGACGCAGGGACTTACCCCAAAGGGCACGGGGACAAAGACACCCCCGATACCCCGGCCGCAGCCCCTCTCACCTCGCGTCCAGCCACCGTCTCCCAGCACAGCTCGGCTCGGCTCGGCTCGGTCTCTGCCTGCTACTGCGTCTCTCCAAACCTCTGGCAGCAGCTCTGAGCGCTGCGCCTGACTGCCAGCCTGATATAGCCGGGCGGAACGCTCCGCCCCCGGCCCTCCCTACCTGCCCCGCACAGCTGAGCTCACCCCCCGCGCAGCCCGGGACTCCCACGGCGCTGCTCCGGGCCGGGCTCTGCTGCCCAGCTCCTTAGCCCTGGGCTGGAGAGAGCCTGGCGGCCACTCGCGCTGGCGATGCGGCGACCCACTCCGCTGGGGGCGGAATTAACCCCCGCGGCCCGGCCTGGCCCTGCCCGCTCCGAGCTCTGCGTCCATGGGCGCGGGAGAAGCACCTGGACCTCTCGGGTCAGGTGCCAGCAGGCGGCGGAGCAGCCGCTGCCCTAGAAGGGAAGGTCCCGATCCCATTGCCAGCTCCCTAGGCCAGCCAGGGTATCCGTACCGCAGGCTGTTCCAATCCACAGGATTACAGGTGAGCTGCCCGACAAGCCCCGGCTCTGCTAATGTCACCCCTTTGGCAAATCTGGCCATAGGGTTTGTTAACCCTTTCCCCGATGGCTGGTTACCCCTCATTTGTGATTTCAGATCTACCGTCTTTATAGTTCACTGGTAAGCATTTCCAGCCAGACTTTGCTCTTAGCAACAGTAGTGCTGCCCACCTCCCAGTTAATACAAATAAGGACTTCCCTGGGGCTTCACTGGTTTGACTGGGGGGCGGGGGAAATTGATTCCTGTAATAGGATTTCCATACAAGAGCAGACCATCGGTCCATTTAGTTCAATCCCCTACTTTTAGAAGTGGCTACCATATCTGCTGCTTCAGAGCAAAGCCAGAAAGCAACTACCTCTCCATGGCCCAGATCCTCAAGGGTATGTAGGCACCTAACTTCTGTTACAATACATGGAAATTAGGCTCTTAAATACCTTTGGAAGATCTGGGGCCATGCTCCTAACAAGTTGCCTAATGTTGCATATTGGGGAGAAAGGAAGATGGCAGGAGAAAGATTCCTTCCTGATCTCTGCAGTGATCAGTTTATATCCTGAAGCATGAGATTTGGCTTCCCCTAATCTCAGGGCTTGTCCACACTGGGGTCATTAGCCACGGTGTAGCTGCATCACTGCAAACCCCACATGTAAATGCAGGGTAAACTCACTGGTGCAACTTAGTTTTTATACCCGTGCACTGTCCGCATTGGTGGTTTGCAGGGATGCAGCTGCAACTGAGGCCAGCAGCATTTAATATCTACCTTGTGGTCTCTTTTGAATCAGAAATGTAGGTACGTGCTAAAGCATCCATCTAATCTTCTGTTTTCAGGGTGCTCGGCCCCCGCCGTGCCAGCTGAAATCGGGGAGCTGTTGTGTGTTCCTCACTTCTGAAAATCAGGCCTTCAGTGTGCAGCTAGTTGATGGATTTAACCCCTGCCACCACAATGCAAAGTTCCTAGATTTGCAGATTTCAGGCTGGCCTGTTCTAATAGAGAATATGTTTGGGCATGTTCTGCTGGAGGCTGCCTCATGACACAGGGCAGATCTCTCTCCTACAAGTCCCGTTACATAGGATGCAAACACATCCAGGGAGCATGAAATCAGCTGAAAGATGTTATCATCTATGGCACAGAGAGAGGCCCTGAACAGCTGTGATCGGGAGGTGAACTTTCCAAAGTTCAGGGGCTATTTAAACAAAGGGTTTTAGATTGATTCTAGCTTTACTGTAGCAGTGACTAAAGCTTACCCATGGCAGTTGAGTGAACAAACCCGGCTTTCTGGCATGCTCTTATTAAGGTGACCAGATGTCCTGATTTTATAGGGACAGTTGCGATTTTGGGGTCTTTTTCTTATATAGGCTCCTATTACCCCCACCCCCTTCCCGATTTTTCACATTTGCTGTCTGGTCACCCTAGCTCTTATTAACCTGCCCAACTCTGATTTTTCAATTCATGTATTTTAATTAAGTTTGAAAGCAATGGCTACAAATGTACCTTGCGTTTTGCCAGCCACACAATTCAGAGAGAGGCTTTTCAGCCAGAATGGCCTTTACTTTAGATGGAGAACAGCAGCTACCAAGAGAAAGAACAACACTAAAGTCTCCACCATAACTTAGAGAACACAGCGTGTCTCCTCTGACTATATTGAGCTGTGAAAACAAAATGGCTGCCAACCCTGCATGCGAGGAGTGGATTTAGAAACTTCAAGGTCTGTTACACAGAGAGCAAAAGCATAACCATTCCATAGCTAAGACTCAAGTGACACAGTTTATCATCTGTATGCTATTTGCAATTATTAACACTTAGCACAGTGTGGCTGGTTGGCTCCTTTAAGAAGGTGCAGAGGGGGTCCAGTGCACCTGTGATTGATTACCTGCTGCTCAACTGGGCTTAAGGGAAGACACTTGGGCCTTATAAAGGGGGAAGCTGCAATAGAGAGTTAGAAGGTTATAAAAGGGGTTGAGACACCAGGAGAAACAAGATTCTAGCCAGGTAGGGCAGGAAGTGGCCTGCTAAAAGCAGAAAACTGAGTTAGGCTGTGGACTTTATTTTGGACATTGAGTTCTGTTTATATTAATAACACCAACTCTAGGGAGGGGTGTTTGCACAGAGAGAAGCCTCTGTGTGAAGGCTGAGGAGACCTAAAAGAAGGGAAACTGAGGTAAGGTACTGCAGAGTTACCACTGTCCAGAAAGGGGTGCTTGGAAGGTGGCTGATGCTGCTATATCACTGTAGATAAAGAACAGCTACCAAAAAGTGTTTAACTAAATATCTCTCTTTTTTTAAAAAAGGTACAAAAATAAAGAGAACGGAATAATCATACCTGGTGAAATTTTAAGTGGGTATCTCAGTGTAGCAGATGAAAGACAAGACTTCTGTACACAATGCATGGTTAATCTGTGGAACTCATTGCCACAAAAATTGCACTGAGGCCCAGAATGCAGGATTCAAACAAGTATGAGACTTCCTGCTTAAGGGCATACATAAACCCGTCAGTTACTAATGTAGCTAGGAAGAGGCTTTCCCTCTGGGTAAGCTATTCCATAATTGTCCGCTACAGAGTTTATACCTGGTTCTGAAGAATGTGATGTTGGCTGTTATCAGAGACAGGATCCTGGATGGACCAAATGGCAGCTACTTCATTAGAAGGTATTGGAGCAATGATTCCCCTTCATCTGTGCGAGCGTCTCTACTCTCTATGACACAGCTACATTGTGGTTAATGACCTCACAAATCATATTCTGGGAGCCACTCGTTCTGATGCTGCAGCTGCGGAATTTACCCCTGGCCTGGGGCCCCAAGGAAAACGGTTTCCTTGTTATGCCCAGCTCTCGCTCTGCCAAACAGAGCAGGGAGATTGTGCTGGTTGTGGGGGAGGCAGGGGCTTGCATTCTGTGGGATGCTAATTCTCTCCTTGGTACCCCTGGATGCTACATGCTAGTACTGGATACTTCAGGGTGCAGAAGATTCAGCAGCAGTGGTATATGCATTGGGAACATTGAGAATCAGAAACCCTTAGGGAATTGACTATTACATTGTCTTCGTTTTCCTATTGATATAATGAAAATCTAGCCAGGCCTCATTGTCAGAGGTGTGGAGCACCCTTAGCTCCTGCTGACCCCAGTGGACGGTGGAGCTGCCCAGCACCTCTGCAGATCAGCTCATAAGGAGAGAAGACCTGCTGTCTGGCTAACCACAGAACAGGCTGCAAGGATCCCCTGCCATAGGTCCCAAAGCCTTCTTGCCATCATAGAAGAATAACCCAGGAAGGCCTTTTTCTTTAAAAGGCCCAGTAACTGTTAGCACACAGGAGAGGCAAAGAGAAGAATGTGCTGATTTTGACAATGCTTTTCAGATCTTGGCTGCCTACATAGGGC